TATCCTTCTGTAGATCCACATCTAGAAGGCTTCGATTCGTTTTTCAGTGGCTTGCGTCAGTGTCCAGGCTTCAACTCCATATAGTAACACTGGAAGAACGTAGCACCTCACTATCCGCATCTTGGTTCCCAAACTGAGATCACTGCAGCACAGCAAGGATCTCAACTTAATAAATGTAGACCGTGCCATTTCAATTCTGGATCTAATTTCTTGAGCGTAGTCCCATTGTGAGTTGAGGGTAGTTCCGAGGTAAGTGAATCTGTCGACTCTCTGGATCTCTTCGCTACCTGCCATTAGTGCCCCGGGATCTAAATTTGTACGGCTGACAACCATGAATTTAGTTTTCTTAATATTTAGGTTCAGTCCGTATGTTACGCTTACAGTTTGCACTCGGTCTAGTATGCCTGCAGATCGTTTAGGCTGGTTGCTAGTAACACAGTGTCATCGGCGTAGCGGATATTATTGATGTATTCACCGTTCACTCGGATTCCTATCTCTAGGTTTGTGAGGGCTGCAGTAAAAATCTCCTCAGAGTATATATTGAAAAGATTCGGCGATAGCACACAACCTTGTCATACTCCTCGCATGATCTTCACTTGGTCGGTCAGCTGGTCTTCGACCTTGATTTGAGCACGCTGGTTCCAGTATAAATTCATGATGATCCGAATGTCCTTCTCATCCAATCCTACTATTTGTAGCGCGGTGACCATCTTCTGGTGCTGACAACGGTCAAATGCCTTGGCGTAGTCAATAAAACAAATATAGACATCACAACTGATATCGCGGCATCTCTGAAGTAGGACTTGTAAGGTGAAAAGTGCTTCACGTGTACCCATGGAATTGCGGAATCCGAATTGCATTTCATCGACATTTTCTTCGCATTTCTTGTAAATTCTGGCATGTATGATTTTAAGAAAAATTTTAAGTGCATGACTCATAAGACTGATAGTTCGGAAATCTTCGCGCGTTTTCGCAGATCGTTTTTTTGGGAGCGTTATAAATGTTGACAATAGCCATTCCCCTGGGATATTACCTGAATCGTATATGGCGTTGAACAGTTCAGTTAACTCCTTCGTGCTCACTTCACTCATCACCTTAATAAGTTCAACTGGTATTTTGTCCGGACCTGTAGCCTTACCATTCTTACACTGTTTTAAAGCAGCCTTTACCTCGCTTTCTAGAATTGACTGCCCTGTCATGCAATTTATTTCCGGAAGGTTGCCTCGGTCGTCCCAGAAATGTTCTTCGATATTTTATTTTCCAGGTAACCAACTTCTCATTCACTGTCGTCGCCAGATTACCGTCTTTATTTATGAGGAGAGAAACGAGTGGATAAGAGAGAAAACAAAAGTGAGGAATGTTAGACAAGAAGTTGCAAAATTGAAATGGAGATTTGCCGGACACAATATAAGACAAAAAGAAGACCGATGGAACAAAATTCTTATAAGTTGGAGACCGTGGGAATATAAACGAAGCAGAGGAAGGCCCCAAATGAGATGGGCAGATGATATCAAGAAGCACGTGGGCTCTAGATGGATGACTGTTGCGACAGACAGAGAAGAATGGAAAAGGATTGGGGAGGCCTATGTCCAAAGATGGACCGAAGAAGGCTAATTAGATAGATAGATTTATGAGGAGGTGTATGTTTCTTCTCTTGTATTGACCAGTGGCTTCACGAATCTTTCGGTGGATATTTATATGATCGTGTTTCTCTTGGAGCTCCTCGATTAGTTTACATTAGTTTACATTTTTCTTGCATCCATGTCTCCTTGGCTCTTAGTATTTATTTTTTAATTATCTGGTTGGTTTCTTGGTATTTCTTCGCGTCCCTGTTTTTCATTTATCTTCTTTGTTCCATCATCTGCAGAATGTCATCAGTCATCGATTCTTTATTTTTTACTCTTTTTTTCTTTCCCAGATGTTTTTTTCCCGCATTCAGCATGACGTCTTTGATAGAACTCTATTTTTTTTCTACACTCTGTTCTTGTTGTTGAGCCGTTTCTAGTTTTTGTCTCATTGCATCTCTCACGTTCTGACGAACTACGGGGTCTTTTAGAGTGTCATAATCCAGGTTCTGTTTAGGTTTATTTTTGATGAGTTTCTTTAGTTCTGATGAGTTTCATGTTCTATCTGGCCCACTAATGGGTTCTGGTCCGATGAGACGTCTGCTCCTGGGAAGGTCTTCGCCGAAGTCAAGCTGTTCTTGAATCTTCTGTTAATGAGAATAAAGTCTATCTGGTTTCTGATGATACTGCAGGCTGTATCTGCAGGTGACTGCCACGTATAAAGTCGTCTCGGGGAAAGTTTAAACTACGTGTTAGCAATGGTAAAATCTTCTTCCCGGCAAAATTGTATTAGTCGGTCTCCTCTTTCGTTTTTTTCGCCTAAGCTGTGTTGTCCGACAATGTCTTCTACTCTGCTTTTGCCAACTTTGGCATTGAAATCACCCATGATGATGGTTAGCTCGTTCTTCTTGGTGTATTTTAGTGCTTTTTGTACAATTGCGTAGAACTCCTCGATATCCTCTTCTGGTTTTTCTGATGTTGGAGCGTAAATTTGAATGATGTTCGTATTAACTGGTCTGCTTTACAGCTTCATCAGAATTGTCAGAGAGAGGTAGCACGGTGATCACAGCCCCAGCGACCTTTTTGCTCAGAATCTTACTACCTCTGTGAAAGAAAATCATTAAGGTAGTACAAGAAATTGATGCTAATGAATTCGTACTTGTTACATAAACAATTTATTTTACGTCCTATAAGCCTTTAGGACCACTGACTGTCAGTTTTGGAAAAACTATTAAACATTGGGATGAATAACAAGCTGGGGCCGACAATTAAAACAGTTTACATTATTGCCAAAATTTTGGCCAAGGACAAAAAAGGAAAAACAGTAAAAAACCGATGTACAGTGTACTCTGGCAAGAAAATCCGTAAAATGACCCTTTACCACTGCCAACAATGTACAGAAGAGCCCTGATTATGCTTCGAATGTTTTAATGATTACCATAAATAATGCAACATTGTGTTACACATTTAAACAAATTACGTAGTTATGTATGTTATAAAGTCTTTTTTATTGTATTATATTATATTATTATATTATTAGTATTATATTATATTGTATTTTATTAAAGTTTTTATTGCTTACTTTTTGTTTTGTTTTTAATTGTTTTTACTTGGTGTTCTTAAAATTGTCTTCAATAAACTTTTAAAGTAGTAAAAAATGTATTGACACGCGTGCGTGACATTGATAAAAAACAACTAAACTCTCTATATATGGGCTTCAGTTTAGTACTAAAGCAATTATAAAGCCGAAAATATTAAAATTTTTAGAAAAAAAAATGCCGCACCCGGCAACACATCTATCATAGAAATCAGTATCGAAAGTGTTAAAAATTATGTGCAACTAAATAAATGGCTTAAATGAATTAACAAGTACAAAAAATGTCTATAACCTATATAAATATGATATTAAAATAAATGTTCAAAATGACCCCCATTTTATTCAATACACATTCGGTATCGTTTTAATAAGGAAAACCGAATGCGCTGAAAAATCATATTTTTCTGACGAAATTGATTTGCAGCTTCAATTATTCTAACCCTCAATTGTTGTTCGTTCTCTATTGTTACAGAAAACACTTTATCTTTCATAAACCTCCAAAAACAAAAGTCCATGTTGTTAAGACCTGGACTTCTGGGTGGCCAAGAAAGGTATTTCCGGACTTCATTACTGCAATTCGGTGGACCGCCATCTTGTAGAAACCATATATTTTGCCTTATTGCAATATTCACTTCTTTCAAATCCTCTTGTAAATCGTTTGCCAAGAACTGCAAATAATTATCACCATACTGGGCCGATTAGATTGTTATCCACAATTTCTGCCCAAACATTAACTGTAAAAGTCCTTTGGTGATGAGTCGTTTTTTTTGGCGTGAGGGTTTTCGTCGGCCGAAATGTGCTCGTTATGATTATGGTTTGTATATTATTTTGGTATTTATTTCTTATAAAATTAACATTTCGAGTGTTTTCCATTAACAACCCATCGCAAAATCGAATCCTTTTAGGATAATCTTCAACCAAAAACTCTTGTTATTGGTTGTTAAGTGATAGGGTTTAAGCAGCTGATTCTTCAAACGCCTCCAATCCCCCGCGTGAGGATCATTTAGTTGAGCAGTTTTTACTCTTGTACATGTTCCAGGGACTTCTTCAATAATTTTTAAAATGTCTTTATCAGTTGCATCCATTATTGGACGACCACTATTGCCAGCAACTTACGGTTGGGATGTACCCGTTTCCCGTATACGACGATCAATGGTCAGAAATAATCGTCTATCGGGTGTATTTAGATTGGGGTATTATACTGCATAACGCCTTGCGGCTGCTGCACCGTTTCCTTAACATTCACCTACAATATTCCCGATAGTTTATTGAAATCATGATTTAATCTGATCCAACTTACCCAAAGATAAATGCATATCTGCCATTTCCTGAAATGTGTAGGACATTGTAATTTTTAATCATCAAAATTTTTAATATTAATCTTACTCACACAATAAATGATAACTTCAAATTATCGACTATTATTGATGGAACTAACATAACAAAATGTCAAGTAGTTTAGGAGATAATACGGAAAAACAATTTTTATTTTGTAACTTCAAAGGGCTGTACATTTTTTTGAGTACACTTTTGTACTAAGGTAAGTTAAATTCAATCAATTTATTTTTGTCCCAGGAATGCGTGATTTAATTTATGGCATACATTTTTAAAACACCCTATATACATCTCTTAATAGGAGAGGCTGTAAAATATATACGGAAGAATCTATTTTTGCTGTAGGTAGGCTGCAAATAAATTCTTTACACAAAAAGTAGCTACAAAAAAAATAATAATTTGTAAAAAAATATATATATTTTAATAGTGTATATACACCGTAAAAAAACTATAGTAGTTATTAATAAAAAAAATATTACTAAAACTATAATAAAAAAAATTATATAATACTAATGCTGTTTGTAATCATTTCCTCCATAATGTATAAGATATCGTGGGTAATATGTATTATCATCATATTTAACATAGACGTGGTAATTTTCTTTGACACTTGTATCATAACCAAATGGAGGTATCTTCATGTTTGCTGATCCTATACAACAGTTGGCTACTAGAACTGAGGCTAGAATCATCACTTTGTTGTAAGTATTATCTCCATAGTGAGTGGAATAATAGGCAATTGGTGAAAATGAAACACCTTGTCCAAATATATATCCTTTATAAGAACCTAAAAGAAGATAATACATGTTTCACATGAAATGCGCATTAGTCATATTTAAAATCTGAGAATTGGTACCTTTACTTAACCATAGCTGATGTATGTGTTTATAATATCTATAGCTAATTATCACGTTCGATTATTACTTCCGGTTCTACCAGAAGTTTCTGCCAACTTTTTTCGGATGTATGTTAAAGTCAGAAATATATCACGTAATAAAACTAGCCAAACCTTAAAAATCGGCAGATCTTGATATGCATGTAGAAATTTTAAAACGCTTGAACGAAGAAAACCTTAATAGAGTACAACTGGTTAATAAAGTATATGATACAGCACACCTTCTTGTAAGACTAGTTGAAATTAATATTTTTTTCTATACCCAAAAGAATTGGCCAATAAATGCTTCCATTTTAGATTAGTCAGCCTAATGAGCCATGCTTTTAAAATTATATTGAAAGTTATTCACTAAAAAAAAATACATAAAATGCTAACAAAACTTAAGCGATAAATATTTCGGATGATGTCAAGGGTTAGAGTGCTGTTTTTAGTCTGACTGTGCTATTACAAAAATGCAGAGATTAGACAAAAGCTGTTTATATGTGTTTCATAGATTACGAGAAAGCATTTTACTGAGAAAACACACCGAACTCATTGACCTACTCTCTCTCTTCAATCCTGACCCCCCAGGGGGAGTGTAGTGGTCGACGTGATGTCGTGTATTGTCCGTCTCCAGAGATCTCTGTCTCATGCATAGGTCTTTGGCATATTCCTGTAATTTGATCTATCCATCTTGTTGGGGATCTTCCTCGTGATCTTCGGCCTTCTACCTTTCCTTGTATTATGAGTCTTTCCATGTTTTCTGTGTTTACTCTTATAACATGCCCAAAATATTTTAATTGTTGGAGATGTACTTTACTAGAGAGTCGTTGGCTAACTTTTAGCTCTCTTAAAATTGAATTATTTGTTCTACGGTCGGTCCAAGGAATTCGTAACATTCGTCTCCAACAGAACATTTCAGTGGCGTCTATCTTTTTTCTCTCCGATTGTCTCAGAGTCCAAGATTCACATCCGTAGGTCAGTATTGGGAATATTAAGCAGTTGATCAACCTCACCGACCTACTCACTAGGTATAAAATCTTCATATCTATGACATGTCCTACAAAGAAAAAAAAGTGGTTGCTTGACAGTACTCAAAGAGCCAGTAAACTCAAGGGGAATAGTCTTGACTGACATACCTGACAGCACTTTTCCGAAGTCCTAGGAATAAGATGGTCATGAAGACAAAAAAGAGACAAATATAAATACAACGAATAGAGAAGTGACCCCAGTAGTTGACTCTGTCGCAAATAGTTCTTAATGACCCCAAATAGGATCCTTCTATCAAATCTTCAACACAGTCTGTTTCCGATCCATGGGTGAGCACTGGGCGTATTATTGTTTTATAAAGTTGGCACTTTGTTGGTCTTGACACTTTTTTCGCTTTTAGTTGAGGACCTAGGCCAAAATAACAGCGTTTATCCACGCATATTCTTTTTCTTATTTCTTTGGATGTGTTGTTTTTGTAGTCAATCTGTCATCCAAAGTAGCAAAACTTTTTCATCGTTTCTATATTTTCGAGTTGCACCCCTAAGTTATTTTGATAAATTCTTGATATAGCCGGCATATATTTGTTGACCAGATGTTTTCTGCGGCGTTTTAGGTACGTGAAAGCTTGATCTGCTTCGTTCCGGTTTTTTCAATGATCACGATATCATCATATGCCAATATTTGTATACTACGGGTATATATTGTACCCGTAGTTTACTCCCATAACTTTTTCTAACGCTAGATTAAACAGCGTGCATGATAGCGCATCTCACTAGCGCAGTCCTCTGTTAATTGTAAATGGTTATGAAAGATCCCCTCATACTCGCAATGTACATTCAACTTTTATCATTGTCATTTTAATTAATTCTGCCAATCCTTTTGGTATTCCAAATTCGAGCATAAGCGAATATAATTAGAGTCTGTCAACAGTATCGTACGCATCCTTAAAATCAACGAAGATGTAATGGCTGTCTATGTCGTACTCCGTCGTTTTTTATAATATTTGTCTGATGGATGATATGTAATCAGTGGTAGATCTGTTTTTTAAAAAGCCTATTTGGTATAATCCTATTATATTATCAGTATACTGTGCCAATCGTTCCTTAAGTATCAGAGACAAAATTTTGTATACCGTATTAAGAAGGGAAGTTTCTTTAAAGTTGAAACAGTCAAGCAAGTTTCCTTTTTTGTGTATAGGACATATAATTTCATTCGTCCAATCTTATGGTAAAGCGAGTTCTTGCCATACCTTTATTAATAGTTCAACAACCTTAAGTGCTCATGTATTTCTCGATAAACATGTCTTGCTGGTTCTCAGCTGGCTTTGCATTTTTTTATAGTGTTAAGAAGTTTTCTGACATAGCCTATTTTACGTTATATTGCCGGTTTAGCTACATGGTCTATCCTTGGTATTTTTAGAAGTCTTCTTAACACTCACATCTTAAAACCATTTATAGCACACAAAACCTTCTTATAGCACATTCATTGTCCATGCCTCTGTCCTATATAAGTGATTTCAACCGTCAGGTCTATATCTTAGTTATTTATAAGCCAAGATATTAAAATTTATTGACGTTTTCTTTGGAACAAGTTTGACTGTTAGATTATATATTTGGTCGTTTGCTTATTACTAGAAAAGGCCCGATGTGGTTTTCCATTCCAAACCGTTTCTCCGTCTTTGTTTTAAGAAAAGGACTGCTTTTGTATGATATTCACAAAAAAAACACACCACTTTTGTCCTAAGTGGCTATTCTAGCTATTATCAGGCACAGTAAGAGTTAATCTAGATCAACTCCTAATAACTTAAATTTAAGTTAACTCGCGGTATCTTAATATAACATTTTCTCATTATAGAACTGAAAAAAACAATCAATATATTATATTTTTAGATCTGTGTCGACAAATATAAATTTGACATTAACGTCTTTCATGAAAGAACATAAGCGTCTCGCATATAAGTTAAGGGCGTAATAAAGTAAAATAAAATAAATGATTCAATGAAGTTCCAAGAATTACCATTACTTTAGCTTTACTGGTGTTTATTTAAAAACCAAATGATTCGCCTCCTGCTACTGCGTCTATGAGTCATGGAAACCCTTTTGGGGCACCTGCCAGGTTATGGGGAGGATATTGGACCACTTTTTCATCAGTTCAACTGATGCTATCTGTTTCTAATACAGATTTGAAATAAAATTGATATCTTGTTGGTCTAACCCTTGTCTAGTGAGTAGGTCAATGAGTTCGGTGTTTTTTCTCAGTATAATGCTTTCTCATAATCTATGAAACACATATAAACATCTTTTGTCTAATCTCTGCATTTTTGTAATAGCACAGTCAGACTAAAAACAGCACTTTAACCCTTGACATCACCCGAAATATTTATCGCTTAAGTTTTGTTAGCATTTTATGTATTTTTTTTTTACTGAATAACTTTCAATATAATTTTAAGAGCAATGCTCATTAGGCTGACTAATCTAAAATGGAAGCATTTATTGGCCAATTCTTTTTGGGCATTGAAAAAAATATTAATTTCAACTAGTTAATTTTTACAAAGTTATTGGTTAATGTTAATATAACCGAAAATGAAAGCGAGCTGTAAATGGTTTAGACATGTAAATGAGCAACACATGTGAAAATTCATATGCGAAAATGAAAAATTTCAGATTTCAAATCCGATTATATTTAGTTAAATTGAATGTACTTTTTGCAATAAATACTTTCAATATTTTAGTTTTTGAGCATATGGATCGTGTAACATTTTGTGCTCCAATATTCTTATATTATGTTTAGAAAGAATACTAAAAGTACTTGCGTGTATGTATTTTTTGAATTACAGAAAATACTTACCCTTTAATCTCCAATTAAAATTCTCTTGGCAAATACCGTCAATATTAGATTTCTGCGTACCATGAAATAAGAGTTTCTCTTCAAGACTTATTCCCCTTTTCACATATTCCAATTTTTTAAGTTCATATTGCATCAATAAATATGGATTATGTACTCTCTCAATGTTATGAACTCTAAAAAACTTTTTATTTGTGCTAAAGAAAAGTCGTTTAACTGTTTTAAACTCGTTAGAAAGTTCGTTTAGAATCTCTAAGTTGTAAACATTTTGATTGTCCATCAATTTAGTTAAAGTTCTTGAACTATAAGCTTGATATATTTCATTTAGTAGATTGTTGTCTTGAACAACTTTTGTACCAGTGGATGTTTGTGAAATAACCAAGTTTCGGAAACTCTGTAACACTGTATGACTTCTATGGTGCAACAATTCAGCATTAGAAATTTTTCTCTTTTCTTCTGACAAATTGTCATTTTTATGTTTGCTTGATGAGACTTCCTCTAGAATTTCCTGCTCTCGTTTAGGCTGAATTATTCTATGTGCTTGTTTAGAGCTGGCATAGCTTATTCTTAGGGTATCCATATCTCGTTTAACTTTATTTATTGAAACGTTTGACTCTGTTTTAAAGCCATCGAGCCGATTTGAATTTGAATTGACAGAACTTGAGCGTTTGAACTCTGTGGCATTTTCATTTTCGACACTAGTACTGGTTTCTGGAGATGGAATTCTTCTGTTGTTATCTATTTGTGTTCGATTTGATTTTCTTGATGAACTTCGTCTTAATTCAGTTTCTATGGTAAATATAGGATCATTTGTTGAAGTAATGGGATTTTCATCGGAATTAGAAAAACCAGCATTATCACATGGTATGATGGCTGTCTCTGGATCTACTTTTTCGTATGAAGTTTTAGAGAAACAACAACACAAGTTTCCCATTTTGATTTTCTTTACCTACAAAACAAGATATTAAGTGGTTAATATAGTTTAAGGAAGAATATGAGAGACCGACGTGTAATTAAGTGTAATATATTGTAATAAAAAGGGTATGTAGGGTAGGGTAATAAAAAGGGTATGTATTATTATGTAGATACTAAAAATTCATTGAAGTAGTAAATCAATTAGGCACATGCGCTGCATAGTTCAGGTATGAAATTAATATACAATATAACTACCTACCCCATCTAATTTAACTAATATTCCGCTGAGTGAGTTTAAAAATCCAAATATTTTTTTTGCTTATTGGTTTTGGCTTGGAAACGTTTAGCCACGTAATAACATATGAATATTAGTATTCATTCATACAGGATTGTATAAGGAGGACACTTTTCACGTTCGGGGATTCATCAGAGCGGCTTTATTATAACAAACAAGACATAAACCACGGTTAGGTAGGTGGGCAACGTATATGCTAAACATACAAAGGAAATGTTCATGCATACGATCAATTTTACACTTATACCTTTATTTTAATTTTTACAAGAAATATCATAATGATTTTAAAAATGTTTATATTGTCTTCACTTAATAGAAGATGTACATTTAATGGTGTACTTAAACACTCTTAGCAATTTTTTTAGCAGCCACGTGCTTGTATTACGACGTTGCAGTTAAAAAATATGTGATTTAAATCAGCTATACTAGTTCCACATTCACCAGGCTGTTGGGAGAACTCCTATTTTGTCTAAATGTTTCGGAAAACATCCATGATCTACTTTTAATTTTAAAACAGTTAACACTGTGCTTCTGTTTAATGTAACATCTTTGTAAAATTGTTTTATAACTACTGTTGGTTGTAATTTGTATAAATTAGTGCCCTTGCTTTCACCAAACTGATCCCATTTAAATTTAACATGTTGTTTGATATAGGCAAGTAGGTCATATGTGTTGAAATTTTCTATCACCATATTAAGAGGGCACCATATGGATTTCATAGTTTTAGTAACTGTTGAAAAATTTCTAAAATGAATATATTGCTATTGATTGTAAATTTAAAGTTTTGTAAGGAGTGTAATACTGACAGTGAACTACTGCATATGACAATTTTGTTCCACTGGTTTTTCCAGCACAATTCAAGGCCTTTGTATATAGCACATGCTTCAGCAAAAAAGATGCTCCATTAATTATTTAAAATAAATGATTTTTTAATCTTCATTTTTGGTACAAAGTAAACACTGGTTGTACATGTTGGTGATTTTGATCCGTCTGTATCGCTTACAATATGATCTGAATAGCAAATCCAAATATATTTTAAAATACAATTTTTAGATATCTTATAAAAAATATTGAATTTTGGTGGTTTTTCAGTAGTTATTGTATTCTTTATGATTGTATTTATAATTGTATAATTTATAATTCTAATTATACATTATACAATTACAATATAATATATAATTTATTAGAGTTTTACTTGTTCTTCCAACATCAATTTAGCATTAGGAGCGGATTGATCGTTCTCAGTGTGTAATTGGCGCTACTTTATTTTGTATTTGTGGAGTGTATAATTTTTAAAATGAAAGTAAATACAGTCGGAAAGGCCATCCGTCCGATTAAAGAAAGTTGGATAATCAAGGAAAACAAACACAGTCAAGTGAAAATACAAGTCAAAGTTTCAAGGTTCCACAGGTAGTAAAACTATCACCAAACAATTTTTATACAGCTTTTCAGGTAAGCGATAACAATAGTACTAGTGTAAACCAGTCGTTAACACGTAAACCGCCAAATAGGTTAATATACATTCTTCTCCTAGGGCCAATTTCTGTTTTTATTGTACCTAATTATACAGAGAATATCATAATTAAGTCATGTAATTTTTTAAATAACTGTTTTGTAACATTTTATGAAAAACGCCATTTGCTATTTGAGAACCAACACTCGGTATACGGAGCGCATGCATGACTTCGGTCGTGAGACTCGTAAGTCAGTTCTCGCATCGTTGCAAGTATCGATCTGTTGAAAGTACATTTCGATACACAATGACTGATTATTACGAAAAAAATTTGGCACTTTTGCAAAAGTTATAAGACAAAATTCTTTGTGAAGAAGAAGAAAATTAAGAGGAAGAGCATTGGAAGGCGATTCTTTGGATGAATCTAAACCTGAGTCTGAAATTAAAAATTAAATGAGAAAGTTTTACGGCCGAAAAAAGTGAAAACGTGAGTTTTGCTTTATTGTTTTAATTATTTTTAGTACATATTATACAGTGAGCGGTAATTCTGGGGTTAATTTTACATTATTCTACTTCGTCCGAAATTTTTTGTTTTGTAATATTTTTACCCGAGTATTTTTGCCTGGTTTTAAGTTTTTAGTTTTATAATAACATTATTTTTAGCTCGTTCGATAACGTTTATGAGAATGCTGAACCTATCCAAAAAGATATCACCGCTGTTACTTCGATTCCCCAAAATATCAAATATGTCGAGAAACAGAAATTTATATTTAAACAAAATTTTAGAACAGATGTCAAGAAATAGCTTCGAAATACTTCTGCATATGCTTCATTTTACTAACAATGAACACGCGATTGCTAGTGATCGTTTGGCAATATTGATTCCTTTGCTGCAGCTTTTGACAAATACATTTAGAAATGTTAATGTCCCAGAACTCAAAATGTGTATTACTAAAATATTACTTCCATTTAAGAAACGCTTGAGCTTGAAATATTACATAAAAATGAAAGATTCCAGTTTGGAATAAAATTATATAAACTTTGTTATAAAGGAGGCTATACCTATGATATTTGATTTTATTATGAAGAAGATAAGGATATAACTGTAAGTAGTTTAACAAAAATTTTAATGCAACTAATAGAACCACTATTAGATCAAGGCGGAATTCTCTTTATCGACAATTTTTATACAAGTGTTGCCTTTGCTCAAATGTTTATAAACCGAGAAACGCACTTTGTGGGTATCCTAAGGAAAATTCGCAAATTGTATCTCAAGAACATAATAGAGTGGTTATTCTAAAGTTTCAAGACAAACGAGATGTGCTTTGTCTGCTTATTAGCTGCTCATAACTGGTTTGAGACACTCAGATCCAACCTGTTAATGTTCCATACACGGCAATATATTACGTGAACCGTAAATGGGTTCACAGATCAGAAAGTCCTGAATCCCATATGTTGGGTCACAGAGCCTGGCCAACTCTTTCGGTTGGGTACCGTATGTTGGTTCACATGACGTTTAGTGTGTTAATTACACATATCAAAAATACACAAGGAGAATAAGGGCCATATTTTAATGTCTACATTAAAATTTCCTTATACTTAAAACAAAAAAAATATGTGCTCACAACTAGTTTGGGACCCTTAGGCTTAACCCTTTAGTGTTACGATACACCGTAATGTAATACGTGAATCGTAAGTAGGTTCACAGATCAGAAAATGGAAGCAAGAGCTGAAGCCTTTATGTTAGGGCACCGTAGACACACGCGCGTGCACACACACACTCACACATATACACACGCACATACACCTACACACACACACACACACACACACACACACACACACACACACACACACACACACACACACTTTAATTTAAATTCTTGTGTAACTATGTAACTACAATAACTTTATTTTTCCGTAACATAAATTTAAGAAATCTGGCGAAAGTCATTTACCTAAAAATGACATACATTAATAAACCTACATTAATAAACCAATATATTCATCGTTATCGTTAGTATAATATACAGCCTCTGTTTACATCCACAATCGTAAATAGGTTTTCTTAAGGTTTTTCCATTTATTACTACTACTATTTACTATAGTGATTCTCTCTTGATGGCATCTGACCAGCGGGTGGCAGGTCTACGTTATCTGCGTTTATCACTCATTGTTTTCCATTTTAGAATCTTTCTTGTCCAACTCCCATCCCGACAATTGTGTCACATGTCTCGCTTATTTCCATGTAAGCCTTGTAATGCCTTCGAGAACATCATTCACCTTTGACATTCTACGTATTTTCCCATGTAATAGTATTTTGTAATGTGAAAACGATTCCTAAAGTGGAAATCGAAACGTCAAATCAAATTACTTTAAAGTAAAATTGTAGCTTATTGTCAGGAAAAATAGTAAATTTTATTTTGTTATTTTTATAATGATATTTTCAACAAATATTATAAATTACATAATTATAAGCTTAATTATTTTAGTTAACATTGAGCTTTTAACATTTCATAACTGTCTTGTGAATGTTTCAACGTCTTTATCCATAAGTGTAAGAGAATTCTAAATATATAAATGAAAGTATTAAATGTATTTACAGGCTTGTAAAAGCAGGAAATTTGAATGTGTCGTATCTACCCCTAAACAGTCAGCTGAAAGGAACCATTAGTAGTTTTTAGAAAGGTACATGGTATTTATTTTAACAATGAATTACCAAAATAGAAGATTGTAAAGAAAAAGAGATTTTGCCCGAAACAGAAAGAAAAATTTTATGGAAAGTATTACATAAATTAATTATTTTTTTTTTTTTTGAGAAGCAAAATTTTAAATAACAGCTAATCGCAAAAAAAATTGTACTGCAGACGCAGTACTGAGGGATATTCGAAAATATAGACATCGGAAAAGACACATATTATAATATTGTCTATATTGTCTAAATGAAACGTAACTCAACGGGATATTTAGTTAGAAAATATGACACAGCAAAAGTGTTGTCAAACATTCATAGACATTTTATAAAAACAAGTCGGGCTAAAAATTATCGTTACCAAACGCGTATTGCATTCATGTCGAATTGGCACATTTAATAAGATGCGTAAAATGCTCTGTAAATCTTCAATATCCATACTCGAACAAGGATTCTGAGATGCTATGTACTCTCGACTTTGCTTTACGGAGCAGAATTATGGACTCTCACAGACGCCTCATGTAAATACATAAATACACCTAAGATGTGGTGTTATCGACGCATGCTTAGAATCTCAAAGATATATCATAGATTTAATAAAACCATCTAACAACGATAATTGGAATACTTTAAGAAATTCATGAGAAATGAGAATTATCACCTGCTGCAGCTTATTCTGCAAGAGAAAATAAAAAATTGAAGGTCGGAAGGACGCAGATGAATATCGTGGATGCGAAATCCACGAACCCAGGTTTATTCAGAGCTGCAGTAGATAGATTAGATAGACACTTTAAAAAGAAGATTGGTTTCAATAAGGGGAGTTAAACATAGTTCCCAAAACTTCCTTGAAGATCTTGAATAAGAACTGATATTTAACTGATAGAACTAAACATATACACAATTTGGAAATAAAACGGAGACTATTTGGAAATGGAATGCATTAAAAAGTAATTTTAAAAAGTAGCTTCAAATCAGAAGTTACAATTTATAAATAAAATATTAATGAATTACTCTGTTATCTGTGATCAATATTCTCCGTTCGTTCGCTCCGTTGAATCAGCTTTACTTCAAAGTTTATCATCCTAAGTAGGTATTTTATCTAAAGTTGGTAGTAATACGTGAACAATTCAGAAGTAAATATTAAACGAATTATCATCACATAATCACAATTATATCCAGAATTATCTGTAGTTCCCCCAATATTACCAATTCTTTGTATCACTGGTAGCTGTAATTACTATAGATATTATATTACTGCCCATTTAAGTCACATTTTACATTATTATCTTGTTTTACTCAATAAAAGAGGTCGCTTTTTGGCCTTCACAAGGCCAAAAAAACGCTCAAAAACGCCATTCAAACAATATTTAGCATCTTGTATTGCTCCGAATGGCTTCACTATAGGAAGTTAATGTTTTAGAAAACTCCATATTCATACAGTGTGAAAACCACTTATGGAATAAAATTGTTTGTGTCCTTATTATAAAAAATAATCAAAAACTCTGGGACACGTTAACTTTTAAATTTAAATGTGCGCTTTTTAAACATAAGTTTAAATTTACAGGGTGATCCACGCAAGTCTGGCATAGTCCATAATCCTTATTTTTAATTAAACACCCTGTATATTTTTATGTTTTTAAAATACCTTTAACAACGTGATTTCAATGAACTATATCATGTAGGGTCTATAATGAATAATACAAGGTGAAATTTTGAAATTAATAATTTATCACGTGTTATGGTATTATTTTAAATTAGCTAAATACAGACAATAGACTTCTACTCTAAGTATTAGTACACTGTATATTGGGGAAAATTTCTGTTTAGTAACCGTGTTAACATTTTTTATCGTGAATAGGTAAAAACTATATATAGTCGCTAATTAAACTAAATCGGTAAATAATGCTGATTTTTATCAATCAGTTGACATGCTGTTGACATTTTACATTAAAATAATAAATTCTTAATTAAAAACTAATTTCTTGCAGAAATAAAAATGAAATATTTAACTAAGGCCCACCGAATTGAGATTTTAATGATGATCGGTTACGGGGAGAATTGTAGAAGTCAAGTTGAAGTAGCAAACTTATTGAATCAGAGGTATCCTTAGTTGCCTTATATTTCACAAGGTACTATGTCTAAAATTTATGCACAATTCAGAGAACTTGGATATGTCAAACCATTAAAAAGAAAATCGAACTTCATTGAAGATTAAATGAAAGTGGATATTTTGTTAAGTGTCGCAGAGAATCCAACGTCAAGTTCACGTCAAAATAATGTGAGTCACACAACTGTCCTAAGGTGTCTCCATGAAGAAAACTTCATCCATATAAATTGACATTTGTGCAAGAGCTAACAGAAGACGATCCGGATCGTAGAATGGATTTCTGCAAAAGAATGAGGGACAAAATTAACAAATGAAATAGCTCTTGGCACAATTCTTTTTTCTGATAAATCAAAATTTACATTGAACGGAGAGGTAAACTGACAAAACTGTGGATATTGGTCAGCGGAGAATCCTCATTGGATGCATGAAACACACACTCAGTATTCTCAAAAGTTGAATGCTTGGGCAGGTATTATAGGAGATCATATTATTGGTCCTATATTTATAGATGATAATTTGGCAGCGGGAAAATATTTAAACATGCTAAGAGACGATGTTCTTCCTTAGTTGGCTAACTAATATCCCAATCCAATAGATCCGACCCTACCGCATGAAACTGTCTGGTTCCACCAGGACGGTGCAACACTTCATTATGCTTTAATGGTGAGAAATTACTTGAATAAAATCTTCTTCAATAAGTGGATTTGATGAAGGGGACTAGTGAGCGGCCAGCTAGGTCGCCAAATCTTACGCCTTTTAATTTTTTTGTAGGGTTATCTCAAGAACAAAGTATATACAACCCCTCAAGAATATGAAGACATCAAAAAGTGAAGTGAAATACGGAATATTTCACCTCAAACTTTAAACAAAGTTCGGAACGAGTTTTATAGGAGACTGTGTTATTGCCAACAACAAGGTGGAGAACATGTTGAGCATTTATTGTAATGTAATCCAATCAACTACCTCGGGTATTCTATGAATTCATTGTCTTGAAGAAAATACCTAATTTCAAAATTTCACCTTGTATTATTCAAAATGTACGCTACATGATATAGTTCGTTGAAATCATGTTGTTAAGGAGCTTTTAAAAACATGAAAATTAACAGGGTGATTCATTTAAAATACAGATTATGCACTACGCCAGACTTGCATTGATCACCCTGTACATTCAAATTTATGCCTAAAAAGCGTACATTTAAATTTAAAAGTTAAGGTATCTCAACGTTTTTTATTCTTTTTTATAATAAGGACACAAACAATTTTATTCCATAAGTGGTTTCCACACTGTATGTATGCACAGTATCATTGTTGTCTGATATAACGAGATCGATTTATAACGAGGCAATTAGTATGCCATTTCGGTTCAAGTTATAGATCTATATATATATATATATATATATATATATATATATATATATATATATATATTTATATATATATATATATATATATATATTTATATATATATATATATATATATATATATATATATATATATATATATATATATATATATATATATTGTTATGATGTGTTGTTGTTGTATGAGCAATGAGTAAATTTGAATGATATATATGTATGTATAGGGTTTTGTATTTTTTTATTTTTGTCGCGGTTCTCAAAGAATTAGTTTGTAAGTACTTTTTTAAATTATCTTTATTATAAATATTATGAAACAAACCTATCTATCTAATATAAGCAATATCAATTTAAAACAATCTATCTAAAATTTGAAATTCTTGTACCTTCTTTCACTGAACGCCCAAAGTTTTTCCAAAATTAAAGTTATTATCACCACTCGATATCTTCTTACTAAGCCCTGGTTATCCAACTATGTTAATATCTTCCTTCTTAATTATCTCCACTCACCATATAAATATATATTTAACTCCTTGTAATTTCCATATACTTAACCTTTCCGTGGCCGTGCGGGGTATTTTAGGTACCCCAGATGCGGTTTTGTTTTTATAACTTTTCAAAATATTTTTATTTTTCTTTATCCCTCCAGGTAATCTTAGAAAATATATTACCAAATCATTTTTTTGTAAAAATTATTAAATATAATTTCAATTTTATAGTAAAATTGAAATTAATTCCTTGGGGTACCTCCGTTACCCCGCACGGCCTGCTGCGTATTGAAATCATACGCGTATATTCCTGTCGTCGGCCAGCCAAATATGATGTAAACGAAATGAAATGAAATGTAAACAATATTCTATTTTTAGATTACTGTTAGACTAAAATAATAAGGTTTAAATTACTTTAGTGCATCTTAGTTGTAATTTCTTTGCTTTGCGGTACGTATTTGTGTATTTCGGAGAAAATGGCGCGACGTAAACATTATACTGAAGAGGAATTACGTAGAATTTTAGAAGAGAGTGACAATGATGAATACGAGATCAGTGATAGTGAATCAGAAAGTACCGACAATGTCGAAGAACAACAAACAGTTCTAGATGAAATTACAGTCTCTGAAAACGAAAGTGAAAAGTCTACTTTTGAGCCAATTGCGGAAATACTAAAATCGAAATCAGGATATGAATGGAAAACGCAACCCCCTGCACCTACAAGGCGCAAGGCTCATAATATATTAAATTGTCGAGAAGGTTTACAAAATAATAGGTGAGTATACATTTTGAAAATAAACAAATGTTTTGATTAATTCGCAATTCGTTTTAGCATGGTTCTAACTTCAATAAAAGAAGCATTCCAATGCTATCTAAATGACAATATGCTAGCTGACATATGCACTCACACAAATCGACATGGAGAAGTATATTCTGAAAAATTTAATGAAACTCATCCTGATGATCAAATGCGTTGGAAGAATGTTACAATTACTGAATTATACGCTTTCATTGCAGTGCTTATAGCAAGTGGGAGGAATCACGGAAGAAAACTCCACTTGTCGGAAATGTGGGCCGAAAATGAACTATTCAAACAACCATTCTTTACTGCTGTAATGTCTAGAAATAGATTCAAAATTATATATAGACACTTGCGATTTGATGACCCCTCAACAAGAGCGAATAGAATAATAGAAACAAAAGATAAACTACAAGCAATTCGCAATACATACGATCAATTTGTAAAAAATTGCGTTGATAATTACTCACCTGGTGAAAATATCACAGTCGATGAGAGATTAGCTACATTCAGAGGAAAATGTCCTTTTAGAGTTTACATAAAAAGTAAACCTGGTCGATATGGAATAAAAATTTGGGTTTGTTCGGACTCTGATACTGCTTACATTTTGAACAGTCAGATATACACTGGAATGATAAAAAATCAACGAGAAATAAATCAGGGTTTTAGGGTAGTTCTAGACATGGTTAAACCCTATTTTGGATCAGGGCGTGGAGTTACCACAGACAATTTTTTTACCTCTGTTCCCCTAGCCGAAGAACTGCTAAGACGTCAACTTACAATTACGGGAACTCTAAGGGCCAACAAAAAAGAGATTCCTGCTGAATTTGCTCCAAATTCTGCGCGCGAAGAACGTTCCTCTATTTTTGGATTTTCTAATGATCTCACATTAGTATCCTATGTACCTACAAAAAAGAAAGCTGTCATTTTGTTATCGACACAGTTTCACAGCGACGAAATATCCTCTGATGAAAAAGCAAAACGTAAGCCTGAAATTATTTTACACTACAATAAAACCAAAGGGTCAGTTGACACCGGAGATAAAATGACTAGAGAATATACATGTGTTCGTTCAACTAGGAGATGGCCATTTAGGATTTTTATGGAAATTATTGATATGGCTGCACTCAATGCCTATATTATATTTACTAAAAAGTTTCCCGATTGGAAGAGTAATGACCGAAGTAGGCGACGAATTTTTTTACAAAACTTGGCAAAAGAACTTTCACTCCCAAGCGTTCTACACCGGAAACAGAATAATAAAAATTTTCAAAAAACTGTAAAAAGTGCAATAGATTTATTTCTCTCTAATAGCAATGCCACTGTGTCAGAAAACCCTGCCAGAGACATTCAACAATATACAAATCGAAGATGCAGCTTTTGTGCCAGAACACGGGACAGAAAGACTAAAATATCATGTAGTACATGCAGAAAACCCATATGCAACATACATCGAGAAGAAACTAAAACATTTTTTTGCCCTGACTGTAAAAATGATAAATAAGATCATATTATTGTAATTACAGGTAAAATAAAAAAAATGTACATCTTTTTAATAATAAAAACAAATTATTTCAGTGACTAGCGCTTTATTATATAACTTTCCAAACAGTAATGTATAATTTAAATGAATTATTAAAGTATTTTAGTGGGGTACCATAGTTACCCCGCACGGCCTGCAACGTAAGTTTTTATAGCACGGTTCCGGAAAGGTTAATGTACTTTGAAATATACTGGATCTTGTGGTTGTATTATTGAATGCTTATTTCAATGAATTAACTTCAAAACTGTCACTATATTACTGTAGTAATAATTAATCTCCAACTGTATTTAACTTAACAATTCATGTAACTTAATCAATGCCTTCTGCTAGCTAAGAATCTCTTCATAACCTCATAAATAACTGACTTAGTAATCTTAACTCAATTAATAATCTTCTTGCAACTAAATTCTTGAATTATAACTTTACTAACTGATAAATGAACTGGTAACTGAACTTAACTGAACTAAACTGCTAACTCAAACTGACTCACTGACTGACTGACTCAAACTAACTCTCTCGCCAAATTACATGGCTTTTTATATCCTTTCATTGTTTCCAGAATATTCTAGCAATAAATAATGTTCGAAACCTTCTATTTTTTCTATATGAACAATTTAGAACGATTTCCTGCCAGTGATGTATTATGTAAATAGTCCCATTGACATTTCTAGAGTTTTCTATGAACAATTTACTTAACTTTAGGCTCTCCAGATCAGAACTACACTATTATATGTAACTTAAACATTTATATGAACTATATTTTTACAATTTTACATCCACAATTATATTCTAAATTAACATTCCAAAAATAAATAACTTTTTTGACTTTGACACTACAGTGTATGTTTGGTTGCATAGCACATGGCTGAGTAAACATATTAAATATTAAAAAAAATTCTTAAACTTAATTCGTATGCTAAATTCTTAAAATACCCTCATATAATTATTTTTTTATAATATTATCTAGTATATAACTTACAAATTATGTCTCTAACCACTATTTAAATAAATTTATTTTATTTCTGTTTTCATTATAATATATATATATATATATATATATATATATATATATATATATATATATATATATATATATATATATATATATTGGGGGAACTACAGACTAATTCTGGATATAACTGTGATAATAAGAAATTAGTTTAATATTTACTTCTGAATTGTTCATATATTATTATCAACAACTTTAAATAAGATACCTACTTGAGATAAACTGATAAAAACTATTATTATATCTGTAGTCAATAGGAATATATATATATATATATATATATATATTATATATATATATATATATATATATATATATATATATATATATATATATTTACTTATAAAAGTAATAATTATTAAATTATAAAATGGCTCAAAACACTTCGAAGTGAAGTTGATTTAACTGATGGCGGTAATCACACAGTAGCTACATAAATATTTTATTTATTTAAGTTACGGTGTACATCATCGCGGCAAACGGAGAACATTGATCACAGATTACAGAATAGTTCATTAATATTTTGTTTATAAATTGTTACTTCTGATTTGAAGCTACCTTTAAACATTACTTTTAATGCATTCCATTTCCAAATATTGTCCGTTTTATCTCCAAATCGTATATATTTTCAGTTCTATCAGTTAAATATTAGACCTTATTCAAAAAGTTCAAGAAAGTTTTGGGAACTACGTTTAACTACCCTTATTGAAACCAATCTTCTTTTAAAGTGCCTATCCTCAATGGATGTTGGCTATCTAATTATACCAAATTACCCTATCTACTACAGCTCTGAATAAACCTGACTTCGTGAGTTCCGCATTCACGATATTCTTCTGCGTCCTTCCGAACTTCGATTTTCTATTTGCTCCTACAGAATAAGCTGCAGCAGGTATTTCTAAGCTGCAATTCTCATTTCTCATGGATTTCTTAAAGTTTTCTAATTATCGTTGTTAGATGGTTTCATTAAATCTATGATATATCTTTGAGATTCTAAGCATGCGCCGATAGCACCACATTATACATGCATTTATGTATGTGGCGTCTGTGAGAGTTCACGATTCTGCTCTGTAAAACAAAGATGAGAGTACATAGCATCTCAGAATCCTTGTTCGGGTATGGATATTGAATATTTACAGAGCATTTTACGCATCTTATTAAATGTGCCAATTAGACATAAATCCAATACGCGTTTCGTAACGGTAATTTTTAGTCCCAATTATTTCTATAAAATTTCTATGAATGTTTGACAACTGGTTTGAACACTTTTGCTGTGTCATATTTTTTGACTTCCCGTTTCATCTGGATAATATAGACAAGATGTCTTTCTTTTCTAATGTCTCCATTTTCGAATATTCCTCAGTAAAAATTTGCTTCTCCCAAAAAAAATTAATTTGTGTAATACTTTTCACAAAACGTTTCTTTCTGTATCAGGCAAAATCTCTTTTTAGTTCATAATCTTCAATGTTGCGAATCCATTGTTAAAAAATACCATGTACCTTTTGTTTTATTACATTTTTCATATGTTTGGAAATGACTAATGGTTCCTTTCAGCTGACTTCTTAGGGGTAGATACACTTTCAAATTTCCTGCTTTTACAAGCCTGTAAATACATTTAATATTTTCATTTATATATTTAGAATTCTCTTACACTTTATTAGTGAAAGACGTTGACATATATTTACAGTTATGAAATGCTAAAAGCTAAATGTAAAATATCATTACGAAAATGCGAAAATAAAATTTACTACTTTTACTGACAATAAGCTACAATTTTACTTTAAAATAAGTTTATTTGACGTTTCTATTTCCACTTTAGAAATCGTTTTCACATTACAAAACACTAATACATTAAAGAAATTTTGTTTTGCCTATTTTTTTTTGGCTTATTCCCAGTAAAAATAGCAAATTGTTTATTGATGCCATAAGAAAATATTTTTAGAACAATATTAAAAAATAAGAAAGTCACTATCGGGATTACCAAAGAGTGAATATATAATGCTAGCTCAGCTGTATATGGCAAATAAGTTACTTTTTAAATCGGAATTACCCATCAGCATCAAAAGAAGGGCGTTCAACCAGTGTAACTAACCAGTTCTTAATTATGGAGCAGAAACTCTTACTCTTAGGGAGAGCGCCCATCAGACTGGCGTGGCAAGTGACAAGTAGCAAGTAGCACGCGTCCATTACCCAAATGTAACCAATGAAAACGAATGATTCAGCGCACACCAAAATGACAGTGACGTTATTCATTCTAATCATTCGTTTTCATTAGTTACATTTTAAGTAACATGCTAGACGCGTGCTACTTGCTAGTTGTCACTCGCCACGCCAGTTTGGTGGGCGCTTTCACTTACAAAAAACAATAGCCAGACAGAATTAATTCAATGAAAAATGGCATGCGCAATGCATGGCTTAAAACTGAGGGACAGGGTAAACGAGAAGATACATAGAAAGTCAAAGGTGGATAATGTTTTCAAAGGCATTACGAGGCTTACATGGAAATAAGCGAGACATGTGGTACAATTGCGAGAGGTAGATGGACAAGAAAGATTCTGAGATGGAGACTAAGAAGCGATAAACGCAGCCAAGGTAGACCTTCAACTCGCTGGTCAGATGTCAAAAATGAAGCGTCACAACGAACTGGGTTGCATTAGCACAAAAAGTAATAAATGGAAAAACCTTGAGGAAGTCTATATCCGACTGTGGGTGTAAACAGAGGCTATATATGATGATAACGATAATGACAAATAGAATGATTTATCAATGTATTTTTAGGTAAATGACTTGCGCCTAATTTCTTAAATTTATGTTACGGAAAATTCAGTTAATATAGTTACACAATCTTCTAATGCTCTTCTAAATCGACTCCAAAGGCGGATGAACCAAAGAAATGGTCAACGGCAGAAGGATGTAGAAGGCAACGAGAAACCACTACATTAAAGATCTGTAAATAGATATCTCTTGTCAATTATCATGGCTACTATAAA